AAATAAATAAAATCTTGTTAAAATAAGACATACAGGCTGAGTTTCTTAGGGATGAGATAGGATAAAGACTGGAATTTATTATTTATCAGCAAAAAAAAAAAGACAGAACTTGACAAGCAAGAATTGTTAAATCTAAGTAATAGGTATAATTATATTCATTTTAATATTCTATTCACTTCTTTGTATTTTTGAAAATCTTCATAATAGGGACACCTGGGTGGTTCAGTGGTTGAGTACCTGCTTGTGGCTCAGGTCATGATCTGGGGTCCTGGGATCGAGTCCCACATCAGGCTCCCTATAGGGAGCTTGCTTCTCCCTCTGCCTCTCTCTGTGTGTCTCTCATGAATAAATTATAAAATATTTAAAAAAATTTTCATAATAAAAAGGGGAAAAAACCTCCTTTAAACTTGTTTACTCTTCTGCATTCTCAGTGTTACTACCCCAAGGTGTTCACTGTTTCTTATCCAGAAAGACAGGCCCTTCCAGCTCTCCCCTACCCCTGGTAGTAATTTCTCTCCTTTATGATGCGGCTCTGGTGCTAGGAATTCTGGAAACATGGCAGCTTAAACATGTCCTGCTTCTCCTCTTCTCCTGGACGCTACCCTCTAGGAAGGGGCTGTGCCAGCTGCTGGGCAGGGCTGGTTGGGATGAGTAGAGGGCCTGAGATAGAACCTGGAACCCAGGAGACCCTGGGGCAGACCAGGCCACCATAGGATCCTAGGGGGAAAGCAGGGTGACCCCTAGGAGCTGACAGGCAGTCAAACAGGTGGGCTCGGCACTCTCTGCCCAACAGGCTGGGGATGCCGAGGAGGCAGCAGGCAGGGAGAATTCTTGATGGTGTCTTAGAAGAGGCCTGCCCAGCCTGGCTGGCCCACTGGCAGAGACCCCCATTCCTCTGCTCTAGGGCCCCGCCTAGTGGGGATACTTCAAAAGCTCATCCCAGCCCCAGTGAGCAGACACATAAACCCCACTCCTCTGACAGGACAGTGGCTGGAGAGAGGTGGAGCAAAGAGAACAACCAAATCTACCCGGGCTGCAAGACCCTAATACAGCAGGGTCAGGACGTGCTAAAGTCCAATCACCAACCCGGGTGGGAAGAGGAGTTTGTCAGTAAAAGGTGGCAGGATAGCTGGATGGCCATCCAGAAAAATAATTAAAGGTGGTTGACATCTTACTCTGTCCACTCGGATATACCCCCAAATAGATCAAAGATTCAGACATAAAAAGCGAAACCATAAAAATACTTAAAGAGAAAAACATAAGCAAAATTCTATATTAAAAATAAAAAAGGCTGAAGGGCACCTGGGTGGCTCAGTGGTTGGGCGTCTGCCTTTGGCTCAGGCAGTGATCCCGGGGTCCTGGGACTGAGTCCTGTATCGGGCTCTCCCTGCATGGAGCCTGCTTCTCCCTCTGCCTGTCTTTGCCTCTCGCTGTGTGTTTCTCATGAATAAATAAATAAAATATTAAAACAAAACCAAACCAAACAAACAAAAAAGCAGAGACTCAAACTCTAAAAGCCACGCATTTGACCACATAAATGCATCTTAAGTAATTTGCGTGGCCAGAAAATAACATTAGCAAAGTCAGAAGAGAAACTTACGTTACAACTCCTGTAAGAGATAGAGGGCTGTTTTCCTTCGTATGGCAAAACCTTCTAATAACCAATAAGTAAAAGACCAATAAGTCAATGGAAAAATGAGCACTGGCTCTGACCAGGTTGTTAACAGAAAAAGGAAAGCAAACGGTCCTTAAATCTATGAGAAGATGCTCACTCTCACTGAAAAGAGAAATGCAAATTCAAGCTATCTGAAGATCATATATTTTACCATTGGATCAGCAGGAAACGACATCTTGTTGAAACTTGGTTGGCAAGGCTGTGGGGGATCAGACACTCACATTTGTGTTGGTGGGAATGTAAATTGGTATAAGCCCCCAGGAAAGGGACAGCAATGTGGCAAAATTTAACAAATATCCATCGTTTATCCTTCCACCCAGCAATCCTACTTCTGGGATTTATCCTTGATTTATCTGCACGTGGGGTGAAAGATTATCTATTATAGGATTGCGCATAATAGCAAAAGATGGGAAACGATTCAAGGGCCCATCACCAGCGGACTGGTGAAGAATTTCTGATACATCCTTACAGTGAAAACACTCAGCCGGGGTCCTTACCTCATCCCTCTGGCCCCTGCCTTGAGCCCTCAGTAACCCCTTGACCAGCTCCTGATAAGGTGGCTGCTGACCTCGCAGTCACCGTTTCCCGATACATGTTTAATGGCCTTTATCTCACTTCTCCTTTCTTCTGGACGTTTCTCGGTGTCTGGACAGGCACTCTGCTGTTCTTCCTCCTTGTTGCCTATTCCTTCCTCTGGGGCTTCTCTTCCCTCCCTCTGTCTGTTACCCGGAAGTGGTGGGCCCTGACTGTCTCAGGCGTTCCCGGCCCCACGTCCACGCACCCTGCCCACCCACGGCTCCACCGCCACATGCTGCAGGCCTTCTCCTGGGCAGCAGGCCCGCTCTCCAGCTGCTGTCTGGACCTGGCGCCACCGAATAAACAGACCACTGTCTGCTGGGTGTGCGACTGGGAGACTGCGACTCATTCCGACTTCTCTCCCACCTTCCTCAGCCCGTCGGCCACTAGATTCCAGGGAATCGACTTCCCAAATGTCTTGTCATCACTGTGTGCCTGGGAGACCATGGAGGTCCGTCCTCTGCTATTCTCATAGTCCCAGCCACGGGGGTTATTTCTGAACCCCACTCTCTTCTCTGCTGAGAATCTTCCAGCAGCTGCAGGATTAAGTCCACATTGCTGGTGAGAGTACATGAGGCCAGGCACTGCCCAGTCCCCACAAGAGCCCCAGCAGCACAGGATGGGAGTGGAGCTGCAAGGCCTCAAGGGTGCCACATCTCACACCTGCACCCATGCCTAGGCACCACGGCACGCTGGGTGTCCTTCTATCCCACATGGCCTGTGCCGCGCTGGTCTGAGGCATTTGCCCTCTTGCCAGGCTCCTGACTCAGATGGTAGCTCTCCAGGGCTGGCGCTGTGCCTCATCAGATGCTTGGCAGGCAGGTGGGAGGCCAGTTCATGCTTAGTCAATGAGTGAATGAAGGGGAAGGGTAGGTGCTGCCTCTCCTGCCTCCTCTAAGAAGGAAACAGGGAGGCTCACCTTTCAGGAAATTCCCTTCTCTAAATTCTGCCTTCGGGACGCCTGGGTGGCTCAGCGGTTGAGCACCTGCCTTCCGCCCAGGTCATGCTCCTGGAGTTCCGGGATCCAGTCCTGCATCGGGCTCCCTGCCCGGAGCCTGCTTCTCCCTCTGCCTGGGTCTCTCTCTCTCTCTCTCTCTCCCCCTGTGTGTCTCTCATGAATAAATAAATAAATAATCTTAACGAAAAAAAAAAGAAGGCTGCCTTCAATCACTAAGAGCAGACTGGGGATCCTTCCCAGGAGAGAACCAACTCCGCACCCCTGGAGTTTGTAGGGGACAGGGGGTCAGGGAGACCCACACACGACACTGGAATAAAGCAGGGTCACAGGGGAACAGGAACAGAGATACCAAGCCTCTTGCTGAGATCGCACGGGGAATTAGGGCCAGAAGGGGGAGCAGGCCGAGCGTCTCTACCAATACCCAGGTCTCTCCGCGGACGCCCCAGTTCCTCCCGGCGCGAGCACCACCCCGCCATCACGCGTGTCCCCCACCCCCTCACTCCCCGGTAACTGCTCCTGAAGAAGGAGAAAGAGAATATGGAAAGGCCCCGGAATGCGCCTCCGAGGGCCTGCCTGGGAACGGAGGGGCGCCGGGGTAAGGAGCGCTGGCATCCAGCCATCTGCCCCGGAGAAGCTGGCCACCTGGCCCCCAGGGACGCCGGGCGCAGCATCCATCCCCCAGTCCCCAACCCCCATTCCCTCCGGGCGGAATCTGGGTCCGCGTCCTCTCCCGCAGAATGCTGTTCCCCGCCATGGCCACAGGGGGGCGGGCTGCTCCTTGCAGAAATCAAAGCGAAGGCGGCGCAGAAGGGGATGCTGAATGCGACCCGGTCGGCCTCCGTGCAGCGCCTACTACGTGCCAAGCGCTTCCATGCCTCACCTCTTTGAAGGCTCACAACACTAATCCTTTACACAGGAGGACACTGGGGCTGGGGAATTAAGGGATTCCTCAGCAGCTGGCAGGTCACCCAGCAGGGTCAAATTCGAGTCTCTCTAGCTTCAAATCCTGAGCTCTTTGCACTGTAACCAGACCTGGTGGTGGGAAGACCCAGGAAGTCCCAGACCGGGACGGTGCCTCCTTCCGCGGGGCATCCCAGACTCAGTCCTGGCATGTGCCAGGCAACCACGCTGACATCAAGTACATCGAGGACAAAAAACAACAAAAAGTACCAACCCTCGCTGTAACTGGACCTCTTCCTGAAACAAAAAATTGGTGTGCGTGCGAGCGTGTGCGTGCGTGCGTGTGTGTGTTCAGAGGGGGAACTGAAATGACTGAAATGTTGGAAGAAGCCAAAAAGGGAAGCAGATCCCTGACTCTCACATCCATTATCTCGTCTGATCCCCAAGCGTCTATGAGCCAGGCGAGGCGGAGAGATCCTGCAGGCCCAGGATCCCGACGCCTCTCGGAATGGTGCGGCTGTTAGGCAGGTGAGGTGGCGCGCACCTGCCAGCACGGGGTGGGCGGCACACCGTACTCCGGGTCCTCTGCATTTCTGCAGGAAAACTACGTGTCATAAAGAAATAAAGACCGCCAACGGCTTCACCCGGGCTCAAGTCCAATTTTGCCACCAACTGAGTTACGGAAAACACTCGCGCTTCGGGGAGCTTTGGCATTTCGGAATCGCAGATGTGATTGGGAGCCCGCACCCCTCTCGTTTCGTGGTTGAGGAACGTGAGGCTCCGCGTGAGGCAGCTTGTCCAGAGCCCGCGGACGCTAAGCGGAGCGGGGCGGGGCTCCTGGAGCCCGGGCGCAGCCCCCCGCCCGCCTCCTCGCTCCCGGGCGCCCCATACCTGCTGCGGGCGCTCCTCCCGCGCCGGGCCGCGCACGTCCAGGACGGCCTCGTAGACGTTCTCCGAGTCGCGGCGCGCCAGGGGGCGCGGGCACACCCAGGAGCCCGCCACGCTGCAGGCCTTGAAGCTGCCCGCGCTTCCCAGGAGGCCGGCAGGGGGCGCGGCGGCGGCGCGCGCCAGGTCGTCCAGGGACTGCGCGGGCCGCACGGGCGCCGCGGGCCGCGTGCACAGGCAGGTGGGCAGGCGGGGCCCCGGGCTGCCGTGCTGGGTCGAGGCGCCGCGCGGCGCGGGGCCGCACAGGGAGCTCACGCGGCCCCGGGGCTTGGCGGGCGTGCCGTCGGGGCCCGCGGGCGCCGGCGCGCTCACGAAGCGGTAGTCGTAGGCGAGCGGTTCGGGGGCTGCGGGGCCCGGGCGGGGTCCCCGAGCGCCGGCAGCTCGCGCACGTACTGCGCCGGCAGGTGGAAGGGGCGGCCGCCGGGCTCGCGCCGGACGTGCCACCAGTGCTCCGTGCTCCGGCGCAGCAGCCGGTAGCGGTAGCGCTCGTTGGGCTGGATGGCGACGCGCCGCCCGTCCTTGCCGGTGTACTCGAAGGGATGCTCCACCAGCACGTACATGTCCCCCTCGACGTCCGCCGCCATCGCGGCCGCGGGGTCTCCCTGTGGGCACGAGGAGGAGGGGCGCGGAGGTCAGGGCCACCCAGCCGGGAGGCGCGCCGCGCTAGGGGGACAAAAGACTTGGTTGAGTCCCGAAGCTGCATTCCTCCTGTGCCTTAGGGCCTTGGTATCTCCAAAACGGGGCACTCGGATAAAATAATCTCGAAGGTTCCCATGCCCACAGTCGCTGATGTGATTATGACAACCCTGATTCTGTGGCATTGCTGATAAGATTTGAGCCTCCATTCAATTCCCCGGTGACTGCAGCTTGTGGGTAATACTGGTCCAACTTTGCAGCCAAGGAAGCCGTGACTCAAAGAGATGGGGTTGACTGGCGGCGATGAGTCGACACCACACTTGCCAAAAAGTTGCCTGAACCTCAGTTTCCCTGTCTGTGAAGTGGGAAAAAGAGCTCATTCCTTCCGCGCCCGCCCGCCCCGCTCCCGCCCCGCTCCAGCCCGCTCCCGCCCCGCCCTAACGCCACCAGCCCTCAGGATATCCGGGTCCACAGAGCCTCTTCCCTCCAGGATCCTGCGCCCCCGGCCCGGGCCCTGGGCCCTCGGGGTCAGAGTTGAGGCGCGGGGCTCTAGGAGCTGCCCCGGCGCCGCTCTACCCCGGGAGTGTCCCTGCTTCGCGTAGACCAAGGGCCTTGGCATGAGGGACCAGGACTGCCAAGGCCGGGGAACCGGTTCTCTTGGTTTCTCTTTTCTTCCCCAGCGGCTCTGCTCTGCGGCGAACGTGAACCCGGAGCCTGGCCCGCCCAGAGCGGCCCGCACCGCCCCCGAACCAGATCCCACCTCCAACCTCCCGAGAGAGGCTGCAGGGCCTGCCCACCTGCCCTGTGATCTCCACGTTGCCCCACGAGAGCGGCCGCTAGAGAATGCACTACCCAGGCAGTGTCCTCCCCAAAGCTGTCCTGGAGTGATGGCCGCAACCCACCCCTCTGCATGCCAGCTTAGCTTGGCTCTGGGTGGGGCAGCCTTGGTCAGAGCCTAAGTGGAAAGCTGCCCAGGTCTCACCATCAACAAGATGAATGAGTGACTTCTTCCGCGGCTGCTCCCTCCAGATCTTTACACTGACCACATCTCCTGCCCAATTGGGTCTCCCCGGGGGCAGCAGGTAGGAGCCCCTGTGGCTTGCTGAGGCTGAGGAACACAAGGAACAGGGTGTGGCCGGCAGGGGTCGGGCTAGGGGCTCCTAGTGCCCCTTCCCTACTTTCTTAAGCTCTCCTCGATGGGGAAAGGGGTGCACAGTGGGCCCTGGAGGCGCAGTCAGTAAACTGCCTGGAGCAAAGCCAACAAACCCTGGGAGGATACCCCTTCTCGTCACCTTCTCCTGGACCCCTGGCACTCGCTCACCTTGGCAGGGCAGGTCTCTGAGGGCCCATGGGCTAGATAGACCTTCGCAGCCAGCAAGGGATGCAGGTTAGGCCCCCATCTCGTTGGGCGGGGCTTCTGAGGGCTGGGTCGGGAAACCTCGGGGAGCAGGGGCTGCCAAGGGGAGCAAAGAGGCAGAGGGAGGCTCCGGCAGGCTGCCCCCAATTCCCGAGGCAGGTGTATCCTGGAGGGGCGAGGAGGAGCCTGAAGGAGTGTCTGGGCCAGTGGAGACATTGGGAGCGGGCCCAGGGCAAGAGGAGGCAGGAGGGAGGGGCGGCAGCTGGCAGGGCTGCGACTGAAGGTGTGCTGCCTGCTGGCATCAGAGCCCAAGGTGGGTACACTCCCACCCTGCGCCCTCCACCAACGCCCCCGCTGCGGGATTTGTTGGCCTCCAGCCTCTGTGTCGCCTGGATGGGCTGTTCCGGGGCTGCTCCACCCAGATCGTCGTCTCCAGGCGTCCCCTTATGGGTGAGGCCATTTGCACCCTGAATCACCAACTGCCAACCGAGAGCCCTCTCCAGCCCGATTGCTGGCACTACTCGCTTCGGGCCCACCTCCGCCCTCCCCAGGCCCTTTCCCGGCACAGCTTGGCCGGGCCTGGAAAGACTCAGGGCGGAGGTCCCAAGGCAGGGATGCCCACCAGAGCCGGGGGTCTCGTGCTGGGTGGGGAGGGGACCCGGGACTCGGCTCCTTCCCAAACAAACTCAGGGGAGCGGGGAGGATCCCTGAAACTCCAGGACTGACCCGTCCCCAGGAGTTGCTTTGGGTCCACTGGCCTGGGGACGAGAGCCACAGCGGCGCCAAGCCTGGGTCGGCGCGGGGGGCCTGCACCTGGGCCCGTCCTGTCCCCGGACGGAGGGCAGCCCTTTTCATCTCCGCTCCTCGCGGGGGGGGGGGGGATCCGAGCCCCGCGGCCCTGCTCGCGGGTCCCGCAGCTCCCGCAGCTCCTGCCCCAGCGCCCGGGAAGGGGAGCCAGCGAGAGAGAACCCGCCACCTGCAGCACCGCACCCGCACCGGCCCCCGGCTCAGCGCCCCCCGCCCGGCCCGGCCCCGGCCCCTCGGGGTGTCCGCTCACTGGCTTCGCCTCCACTCGTCCCGGCAGGCGCCTGTGGTTTCGGCGTCCGCGCTCCCTCCTCCACCGCCCAGCTCCCGCGCAGCCCGGTTTCCTGCTCAACAATACAGCGAGGGAGGCACCAGCGGAGCGCGCTGGGCAGAACTTCCTCCGGGGGCCGGGGCCCAGGCTGGGCTGTGGGGCTAGAGACAATCCCTGGCGTCCCGCTTCCTGTCCCCTCTGGGCCGGGCCAGCGCCCAGGGAGCGCAGACGCCACCCCCCCCCCCCCGCCCCTCCTGGGCCACACCTGGCTGTCTCTGGGAGGTGTGAGCAGGAGGGCGAGGATGGTAGTGTGAGGTGGGGGCGTGGGGGGGGGCGTGGGGGTGTAGCCTCCTGGACTACTTCTGGCCAGATTTGCCTCCCACTGTTAGATTCTGTCCCCCTGCTGCCTGGATCCTCCTCTGGAAGAGGGCCACCCTCCAGTCTGTAGGGTAAGCCCAGAGCAGCCTGCTGGAGAGGGACTCCTACCTAGCACTTGCAATTTTCTCTCCTGTAAACTGGGGACAGTGACACCTACTTCCCAGGATAGTTGGCGAGATTGAATGAGATGCACTAAGCACAGTATAGTATCACATTATTGTAGGAGCACACATTTGTTATTATGAACATTATTTTTATGAGAAGATGAGCTGTCCTCTCTGGTGTTGGGTTGACGTCTCCAACCCCCCCATTCTCCTTCAGGCAGGAGGGGGAAGGGAGAAAGGAATGTCCTCAGAGGCACCTTGCTGAGGATGAGGCACCAGGGTCGCCTGGCTCTGGCCTCCCTGTCCCTAGGCCTCAAACCCAGTTCCTTTTGTCTTCTCAGAGCCCACTTCCTACTGACCTGGAGAGACTTGAGGCCCCTGAGGGAAGCTGGGGCTCAGGGGATGTGCAGAAGGTACTCCCCCAGGGGCCGAAAGGCATCTTCGAGGACAAGGAACTGCAGACAGAGCAGACTGTCTCAAACACATTTTCCCACAATCTGCCTTCCCTGGAACTAGTGTGTTTCCTTCTTCTGGCCTCACCATGGGCAGTGGTGGGCTTCTCCTGGCACTTAGAGGAAAGTAGTGGCCAAGTCTAGGCCACTGGGGTCCCTGATTCCGGCGCTGCTCAGCCTTTTCTTTTTTCTTTTTTTCTTTTTAATTATTCATTTATGATAGTCACAGAGAGAGAGAGAGAGAGAGAGGCAGAGACACAGGCAGAGGGAGAAGCAAGCTCCATGTACCGGGAGCCCGATGTGGGACTCGATCCTGTGTCTCCAGGATCACGCCCTGGGCCAAAGGCAGGCGCTAAACCACTGCGCCACCCAGGGATCCCTGCTCAGCCTTTTCTAAGCCCCACCTCTTGCTTTGGAAAACCCAGTGGGAAATAGTCCCAACATTCTTCATGTTCCAGTGTCAGGGCTCTGTGCTTTGACAGGCACAGCGAAGGTGCCACTGTGGTGGGATTTTAGGCAGCAGCTTCAGCTGTTATGCATGAGTGTATGTGAGGAGACCTCCAGCAAGGCCCCGAAATCTCCCCCTGGCTCCCTGGCCAGGACTCCTAGTGGCACCTCTTCTCCCCTGCGTGCCCACGCCCCCTGCTTGCAAATGTTTACTACCAACACTCCCTCTCCAGGCCTCTGGAGTTAATGAGAGCAGGGGTGGGCCTGGGGGGCCATTCAGCCACAGGATGGCTGGTGGCCTCCCTCAGCCAGTGGCAGCATCAGGATTCAGAAGCAAGATCACAGCTGAAAAAGAGAAAAAGATCAGGTCTTTACTGCAAAATCATACAAAATGCACACTGTAGCAGTTCCTTCCATACATTGCAAAGCACTGTTCAGGGCCAGCGCCCACCGCTAGAAACAGTTTATTGCATAAAATGGCATTTTAACAATAGTGTGGGCACCACTGAGGTTCACATCAGCTTTCCATTGGAGGTGAGAGGGTAGAAGTCAACTCATTTGATTAGCAGCTTTCTGGTACTGGGGAGAGGGTCAGTTTTTTTTTTAATAAATTAATTTTTATTGGTGTTCAATTTACCAACATACAGAATAACACCCAGTGCTCATCCCGCCAAGTGTCCCCCTCAGTGCCCGTCACCCATTTTCCCTCCTTCCCTTCCACCACCCCTAGTTCATTTCCCAGAGTTAGGAGTATTTATGTTCTGTCTCCCTTTCTGATATTTCCCACACATTTCTTCTCCCTTCCCTTATATTCCCTTTCACTATTATTCATATTCCCCAAATGAATGAGAACATACACTGTTTGTCCTTCTCCGATTGACTTACTTCACTCAGCATAATACCCTCCAGTTCCATCCACGTTGAAGCAAATGGTGGGTATTTGTTGTTTCTAATGGCTGAGAAATATTCCATTGTATACATACACCACATCTTCTTTATCCATTCATCTTTCGATGGACACCGAGGCTCCTTCCACAGTTTGGCTACTGTGGACATGGCTGCTATAAACATTGGGGTGCAGGTGTCCCGGCGTTTCATTGCATCTGAATCTCTGGGGTAAATCCCCAAGAGTGTAATTGCTGGGTCGTAGGGCAGGTCTATTTTTAACTCTTTGAGGAACCTCCACACAGTTTTCCAGAGTGGCTGCACCAGTTCACATTCCCACCAACAGTGTAAGAGGGTTCCCTTTTCTCCACATCCTCTCCAACATTTGTTGTTTCCTGCCTTGTTAATTTTCCCATTTCTCACTGGTGTGAGGTGGTATCTCATTGTGATTTTGATTTGTATTTCCCTGATGGCAAGTGATGCAGAGCATTTTCTCATGTGCATGTTGGCCATGTCTATGTCTTCCTCTGTGAGATTTCTCTTCATGTCTTTTGCCCATTTCATGATTGGAGATTGTTTGTTCTTTGCTGTTGAGTTTAATAAGTTCTTTATAGATTATGGAAACTAGCCCTTTATCTGATATGTTATTTGCAAATATCTTCTCCCATTCTGTAGGTTTTCTTTGAGTTTTGTGGACTGTATCCTTTGCTGTGCAAAAGCTTCTTATCTTGATGAAGTCCCAATAGTTCATTTTTGCTTTTGTTTCTTTTGCTTTCGTGGATGTATCTTGCAAGAAGTTAATGTGGCCAAGTTCAAAAAGGGTGTTGCCTGTGTTCTCCTCTAGGATTTTGATGGAATCATGTCTCACATTTAGATCTCTGATCCATTTTGAGTTTATCTTTGTGTATGCTGCAAGAGAGTGGTCTAGATTCATTCTTCTGCATGTGGATGTCCAATTTTCCCAGCACCTTTTATTGAAGGGACTGTCTTTCTTCAGGTGGATAGTCTTTCCTCCTTTATCGAATATTAGTTGACCATAAAGTTCAGGGTCTTCTTCTGGGTTCTCTATTCTGTTCCATTGATCTCTGTGCCAGTACCACACTGTCTTGATGACCACAACTTTGTAGTACAACCTGAAATCTGGCATTGTGATGCCCCCAGATATGATTTTCTTTATTAAAATTCCCCTGGCTATTTTCTGATTCCACACCAATCTTAAAATAATTTGCTCTAACTCTCTGAAGGAAGTCCATGGTATTTTGATAGGGATTGCATTAAACGTGTACATTGCCCTGGGTAATATTGAGATTCTCACAATATTAATTCTGCTACTCCATGAGCATGGAATATTTTTCCATCTCTTTGTGTCTTCGTCAATTTCTTTCAGAAGTGTTCTATAGTTTTTAGGGTATAGATCCTTTACCTCTTTGGTTAGGTTTATTCCTAGGTATCTTATGCTTTTCGGTGCAGTTGTAAATGGGATTGACTCCTTAATTTCTCTTCCTTCAGTCTCATTGTGAGTGTATAGAAATGCCACTGATTTCTGTGCATTGATTTTGTATCCTGCCATACTATCAAATTGTTGTATGAGTTCTAGCAATCTTGGGGTGGAGGTTTTTGGGTTTTCTATGTAGAGTATCATGTCATCGGCGAAGAGGGAGAGTTTGACTTCTTTTTTGCCAATTTGAATGCCTTTAATGTCTTTTTGTTGTCTGATTGCTGAGGCTAGGACTTCCAATACTATGTTGAATAGCAGTGGTGAGAGTGGACATCCCTGTCTTGTTCCTGATCTTAGGGGAAAGGCTCCCAGTGCTTCCCCATTGAGAATGATATTTGCTGTGGGCTTTCCGTAGATGGCTTTTAAGATGTCGAGGAAAGTTCCCTCTATCCCTACACTCTGAAGAGTTTTGATCAGGAATGGATGCTGTATTTTGTCAAATGCTTTCTCTGCATCTAATGAGAGGATCATGTGGTTCTTGGTTTTTCTCTTGCTGATATGATGAATCACATTGATTGTTTTACGAGTGTTGAACCAGCCTTGTGTCCCGGGGATAAATCTTACTTGGTCATGGTGAATAATTTTCTTAATGTGTTGTTGAATCCTATTGGCTAGTATCTTGTTGAGAATTTTTGCATCCATGTTCATCACGGATATTGGTCTGTAATTCTCCTTTTTGGTGGGGTCTTTGTCTGGTTTTGGAATTAAGGTGATGCTGGCCTCACAGAATGAATTTGGAAGTACTCCATGTCTTTCTATCTTTCCAAACAGCTTTAGTAGAATAGGTATGATTTCTTCTTTAAACGTTTGATAGAATTCCCCTGGGAAGCCATCTGGCCCTGGACACTTGTGACTTGGGAGGTTTTTTATGACTGCTTCAAATTCTTCCCTGGTTATTGGCCTGTTCAGGTTTTCTATTTCTTCCTGTTCCAGTTTTGGTAGTTTGTGGCTTTCCAGGAATGCGTCCATTTCTTCTAGATTGCCTAATTTATTGGCATAGAGCTGTTCATAATATGTTTTTAAAATCGTTTGTATTTCCTTGGTGTTGGTAGTGATCTCTCCTTTCTCATTCATGATTTTATTAATTTGAGTCTTCTCTCTCTTCTTTTTAATAAGGTTGGCTAATGGTTTATCTGTCTTATTAATTCTTTCAAAGAACCAACTCCCGGTTCTATTGATCTCTTCCACAGTTATCTGGTGTCAATTTTGTTGACTTCTGCTCGAATTTTAATTAACTCTCTTCTTCTGCTGGGTGTCGGTTCCATTTCCTGTATTTTCTCTAGCTCTTTTAAGGTTAGCTTTTGTATTTGAGTTCTTTCCAGTTTTTGAATGGATGCTTGTATTGCGATGTATTTCCC